GCTTTTTTTCCCTCTCGGTAGAAAAAAGGAGGCTCGCCTCGTGTGCGGCTCTCTGATGTATCTGCAGCGGCCGATGGAGCGGAGATGGGGGGGTGGGGGGTGCGGTGGAGCGGCTCACAGGCGTAGCGGGGAATATTTCCACCATTGTGTTTTTCAGCCATTTTTGCCTCAGGTGCCTTGCGTGGGGCGGTTGGAGCAGTGGAACGTCTTTAAACGTCTTTAAACGTGGAGAAATCAGGCGGCTGTGTGTGTTTCAAGGAAGGCAAGGGGAACCTGAGGGTTTTTTGTTTGTGCAAGGGATTGGAAGTGATGCGTTTTAATTGTTCTCTGATGTGAGGGGAAAAGGAGCTTTAAGAAACAAGAGTTCTGATTAAAATTCAGCCTCTCAAAGAGGACAGTAAGTGGTGCTTGCTGGTTTTTTTGTTTGTTATGGTTTTGTTTTGTTTTCCTGATTAAACTACACTGTGCAGCCATTTAGTTTTTTTTTGTTTGTTGTGTTTTTGTTTTGTTTTGTTTTCCTGATTAAACTACACTGTGCAGCCATTTAGTGAAAGGGATTCAAGGAAGCAAATGAAACCTATTTCCTTCAGGTGGGGAAGATGGTGCATATGAAGTAGGAAGCCTCTTGTCTTAAGGTACAAATGAAATACAATCCAAGTTGTTTAGCAGTTTCTAGTGAATCAATTTCCAGTCAATGCAAGAATAGAGCTTGGAAAACACAGCTCCTGGCTGAACAGTTCTTTGATTTTAGCCCACAGCTTTGTAAAATAGCACAATAAACACAGGGGAGGAGGGGAAATGTATTCTCATTAGATGAAACAGTGGATCCATTTTGTTTGCAGAGATCGTCAGCAAATGTTATGGGCAAATGCAAATCAGAAAATTTATTTCTGCAGTTTGCTACTTAATATTTTTTTAGAAGAGAAGAACCTATCCATCCTATTCTCCCTATGCCCCCCTGCCCACCAGTTTTCAGCGACCTAGATTTTCAGCTGCCCCAGAAGCTGTGGGGGTAGACTGTGATGTGCAATAGTAAGATCAGAAGTTATTTCCAGCTTGCGTACTGGACCTTTTTTCCCCACTATCATTTATAATCCAATTCCTTTCTTTTTCACAGGATAAGAGTGGCTACCAGAATGACAACTGCCTTGCTTTGTAACATGATATTTCTGCTGGCATTTGGATTGGCTTCAGCTTTCAGCCACAGCCCTAGGACCCCTGACAGGGTTTCTGAAGCAGATATACAGAGGCTTCTCCATGGGGTTATGGAGCAACTGGGCATTGCCAGACCCCGGGTGGAGTATCCGGCGCACCAGGCTATGAATCTAGTTGGTCCTCAGAGCATTGAAGGTAGCTAATTTCTACTTTGAGTTATGATGACTTTATTAGTATCCTTTGGTAATAATTATTGTTTTGCATGTAGATGCATAATATCCTGAGCTTAAAATCATGGACTTCTTGACCATGTTGTTGCCTGATCTTTGTTTTAAAATCATAATGCATCTTTTACCTTCCTTAGTGTAATGATTTTGGTAGAAATAGTAGTGGGGTGTTTTAACCTACAGACTTTGTAGAAAAAGTCATGTTGTCTTAGAAGCATCTTGTCTCTAGTACCTCAAAACAACGGTTTTACTAAATTCTTCCTCAATAGCATCTACAAATATATCACAGATATTTCACATGAAACAAATGTGAGCTTTGGAGACCAAATCTCATGGATTTTTAGAAACACTTGCAGACCAGAAGAGTTTCAAAAGTTTGCGGTGTCATGCGAGATCAAGGGAGAAACCTTATATGGGGGGTCCTTCCTATGTGCTGCAGAACACTGTGCACCCCTCCGCGGGACAGGACGGGTGCCGGGGGGGGGGGGGGGGGGGGGGGGGGGGGGGGAGGGAGGAGGAGGAGGGACAGAGGCAGGCAGTGGAAGCCAGGTTTGGGCTGCAGGGGTGGAAAAGAGACGGGTGCTCCCCTCCCTGCCTCCACAAGCAGCACTTCAACACTCTGTTGATGGGATGGATGCTCTGGGCTCAGGTTCATTGTTTGAGCCAGTACTTCTGGTCTCGCTCCGTGTGAGTATATTTTCCTTGGAATCAATTTTTGTAACTATACAAACCATCTGACATACCTGGCTCAAATGTTAGCTATTAGGATAACATTGTAATGAATTGCTGTTTAAATTGTAATAAACTAGCTTTTATTTGGGGATTACAGCAGAAGGTTGAAGGTATGCAACTCCAAATGTTATAGTTGGTGTTCGAACATCAAAAGAGAGCAGAAACTCTCAACCCTTCTCTCCAAATTAAACCAATTTGACACAGTGTAGCAAGTCTGCGCAGTTCGTAGGTCTGTGGCCTTTATTTCATCCCCATTCGGATCTATAGACTATCCCAGCCAAAGAGATACAATTGCCTTAATGGCGACTAAGAAGAGCATTAAAACCGAATAGGTATTTGTGCCAGATAACTGCAGACCTAAATTTATGTATTTTCTAAAGAAACTTTAATGGAGATATGCTTTTCTGCAAATATAAATGGCAGAGATTTGGCTTAAGGAGTAAAATCTGATGTGTGCCCTTTTCTCCTCATTTATGAGTGTTTGTATGTAGAGAAATTAAGACAGACTTGTAGAAGTGAGTAGTTTTACTCTCCACCTCCCTCTTTTCCCCAGACTTTTTTTTTTTTTTTTTTTTAAGCTTAGAAAAGATAAGCAAATCTGGATCTCTGACAAATACTTCATCTCAGCTGTTTGCGTTACTTTCTAGTTGCAATGTTAGCAAAACCAGATTAAGAATCTCTTTTCAGTATTGAAACTTTTCTGGTGCTTGTGAGACTCGAATAATACTAGTTTTCGAGTCACCCATACAGCCTTCAACAAAAAGCAGGTTGGAATTTCCCCCCCCCCTTTCTTTTCTTTTTTCCTTTTTTTGAAACAAAAATACCTTCTCTATATATAGCAGAGTAAAACTGAAAGGTGTTAAATCCAGTTTTTTTATCATATTTGGCATTTCCCTCTTGATCAGATGATGATGACTCTTTTTTCGTGTCTACCCATGGATATTTAACAGCCTATTGAGAAATTTCTGCAAAAGCAAAAAAGCCTTGTGAGATGAATGCTGTCAATCAGTGCAGAAAGAGACATGCAAATCAGACCTTCCTGTCAAACATTGCTTTTCATAGAGTGTTTTGTGGTAAGTTTTTCAGATAGTAATCACTTGCTTTTTCTTTGCTTTCTTGTGGCGATAGGTGTCTATCTATAGATAGATAGGTATCACTTAAAGTATTTGATTAGAAACTTCAATTTAAGAAAGTGTTTTGAAAATATTGGTTCCAGTTACAAGATTAACATGGTCTTATGTCATTATACACAATATTTTCTCACACTGCTTTTTTAAAAAGTACATATAATTCAGTAAATTTTCACCATGAGTGTATCTTTAAATATAGACCATGAATTACAGGATAGCTAATCCAACAAAACTTGCATTTCAGTCTATACCAGTGATTTTAACTATTACACTGTGAAAGACTTTAGAATTTAATATACCAATTACTAATCAGTTAATAATGCTCTGTTTCATCTACTTTGGATATTTATTTTTGCATAATGTGGGGAGAAACTTGTACAACGGGTTTGACTTTATATTAGCTGGCTACTTTGGAAACAGAACTGCTAAAATGGCATGGTAAGACATTTATTCAAAGCAGTCTAGTTCTGTAAGAGATTCCCATATGATACTTGCCTGAAGAACTGCAGGTTTTACCACTTTCTCCACAGTCCGCCCACTACTCGGTTATTGCCAGGAGATTGACATTCCTGACCTTCTCGCAGCTCCAGTCAGACAGCGTTTCAGAACAAAACAGAATAGGAACTGGATTCAGGCAGGGACCTTGTCCTCTGGTGAGGAATGAGGACAGGAGGCGTTTGAATGAGGATTGCCATGAGGCACCAGCCTGTTACGGGCAGATGAAGCGTAATGCTCAGTATAGTTTAAATACTGTGACCTTTCTGAACTGTGGGGTTTTTACCTGTTACGGGCAGATGAAGTGTAATGCTCAGTATAGTTTAAAAACTGTGACCTTTCTGAACTGTGGGGTTTTTGTTGTTTTTTTTTTTAATTTGTTGGGGGGCGGGGGTGTGTGATGTGCTGGATCTTGCACATGCTTTGTGAAATTCCATCATGTGGTGTAGAAACAGAATTTCCTCAGAGGAGGAAGCTCCAATCCCTCCTCTGCAAAACAGACCTGCAGGACTTTCTGGAAGAATGTTTCTGATGGCGGTGAACTCTTACAGCTTGGTTGGGTCTCAGATGATTCTTGGCCAATGCACAAGGAAGTGAACTGGGCAGTGCAAGAGGCAGTGTCATGGGTTGTAGTGTTTAAGCAAAAAAATCTGTGCCTGTAGCACAGCTGTTGGCTGACAGGAGTATTGAGGAGAATTGAGAGAGGACTTGTGATTGATGTTCCCAGTGGTATCTGTATGAACAGTAAGTAATTCATGGTTGAGCTATAGTAAAAATAACTGCATATGTTTGTAGAGTACATCAGTACAAGGTTTCAGATTCTGGAAGATTCACCTATGGGCTTTCCACAACATAGTTATGCTGTTATCACTGGCTAATAAATCTGTAAGTGCTTAAAAAAAACGTACAAGGTAGTAGAAGGGAAAACTAAGGGGGAAGGGAAGAAAGAGGTTTAACAATAATTGGAATATGTCACAGAAAAATAGGATTTTTGTAATAAATATCATCATGGCAAAGTAGTAATTCACTAACTACTCTCCTGAGGCCCTGCCTTCATTGGGAATTTTTGCCTGAAAGTAGTGGAAAGTAGAATTGGATCTGAAACTCTTATTATTTATAAGAAATTCTGAGTTGCCAGGAGTGTTGACTTCCTGCTGTTTTTCAGGCTGTAGGTTGCAGTGACCAATGTAGGCAGTTTAAAACCTCGTTCACTCCATGCCAGCATCCTCATCATCAACCTGCTGACTGTTCTGGACTGCATTTGTTTCTCATTTTGACCAGATCTTGCATCTCAGTGTAAAAAAATTTTATCAATCAGAGCTTAATATATTTTCTGTATTCCTACAGAAAATTGTTTAACTTAACAAAATGTTTTGTCACAAATTGCCTCAGCAGTGTAGGCCTGCAGCAGTGTTGATAGCTGCAGATGCCATCAGCTTCAGCTGAGCCAGAATTCCAGAAGTACGCTGATTTTTCAAAAGGCCAAGATTTCACCCATTATATGTGTACACTGGCAAACGAGGTGCTGTCAGAAAAAAATAATTTCTGTGGCTTTGGAATTTGGAGACAAATTTAGGCTGCCATAGTATAGACAAGTTTATACTAGCAGCCTGATTATAATGAAATGTTTGCAAATTTGACTGATTGTTATAATAACCTTTCCAGCTGAATAAGATCTTAATAATTTTATACGTAACAAAAGTACTGTGGGTGTTAGTTCACAAGCAGATTTCCTAATTATGCCCGTTTTCCATCTCAGCTATCTACATTTTTTCCAGTGTTAATCATCATATTTTCACTTAAAAATGCTAAAAAACAGAGGGCAGATGTGTTGCAAGGAACCATACATGGTCTTTCTCCACCCACCTCCACCCCCCCCCAAACTAAAAAAAGCTTAGGACTGCCTTGGCTGTAGTAAGCAAAGTCACAGACTTGCTCTGTACCAAAGACAACTAAAAGATGGACACTTTTCAGAAAATATGTTTAGCGGCATGTGTTCTCTTTCCTAAGTGACCAGATTGTTTTCTTGTTGCTGGATAGAAACAAAAGTATAGCTTGTTCGTTGAAAGAAGTTACTGCCTTTTCTTCTGTTGAAATCTATAAATACATGGGCTTTTTTCTTTCTTCTCCTTCCCTTTGCATTTGTCAAGTCACCTGTTACCTCAGGTCAAGCTGCTAAAATAGGAGTAGAGTCTAGAAGATGCCTGACAAAGAGTGTAATCTACCAAGGAATTACTGTGAAGTTCAAGCTGTGTAATCCAAGGAGAGCGTGGACGTCCAGCGGACTGTGGGCACGGTGGCTTCTCTGTCTCGGTGGCAGCGTGAGCCCCCCGCGAAGGACGGCTTCTCCCCCCAAAGCCCACAGGGAGGTGTGGAGGCAGCGTGAGCTCTCCTCCTTTGCTAGGGCTCTGTTAGCTGAGTGGAAGCAGTCCACAGGATAAATACACCACAAAAATGGAAATTTGCTGGCTGATTCCCTGTACTTGTGAACCACAGCCGGCAGGCGGTATGTCAGCATGGCAGAAACCAAACAGATCCTGCACGATGAGTGTCAAGAGAAGATGTTTTTAACACCTGAGGTGGTATCTCTGGTGCAGCTGGTTTTTGCTGA